CAGACAGGAACGCCAGGTATCTAGGTCCTTCCAGGTGCCAGCAGTCGGCAACGCCCAGCGTCAGCAGCCTCCCTGCTGCCATCCATCCGGGGCCCCCTGGCTGCTTGGATCGCATCTGGATCAAAGCCCAGGTAGCTAATGAGACCTGCCAGATCCCCAGCAGGGGCAGGATGGCTCAGAACAGGGCAAAGCCTTCCCCAGCAAGCACGTTCACCACAGTGGGACTGAGGACACTAGGAATTCGACATATGAGCCAGGTGGGGGGTGTGCACCTGTCATCCCCTGCTTAGCACTCAGGAGGCTGAAGCAGGAGAATCACTGAAAGTTTGAGACCAGCTTGCACTACATAGTGAGTTCAAAGCCAGCCTGGACTACAGAGGGAGACCCTGTCTCAAAAAGGAAAACAGAATGCCAGTATCACAGGTGTGACCACCACAACAAGCTTGGTCATCAGTATTATTGCCCTGAAGTCCACAGAGGAGGAGCCTGGGGCTCAGAGGCTCAGTGCCTCTCCTGAGTGACAGGGATGGAGGGGAGGGCAGAGCCCTGCACTGCTTCCTCCCCTGCTCCATTGCTCCAGAATGGGGACTTTCTTGGCCCTCTGCAAAAGCAGTGACATAATTGCCGTGGTGGCCTGGGTGGGACAGAGGCTGGGTGTCAGGACAGTGGCTGCTCTGCTGTGATCATCTTACAGTTTTTGAGATGGTTTCACTGTGCAGTTCAGGTCTGCTCATTATGTAGCCTGGGCTGACAAATGTGCAGCAGTCTCCTGCCTCAGCCCAAGTCCTGGGATGACAGGTGCGCACCAGCATTCCTGGTGGCCTTGACATTTGAAGAAATACAGACCAGGACAGCCGGATGGAGTGGACGTGGAATTCAGAACACATCCAGGGGATGCTAGGACAGGGGCACAGGGTGCTGGGGCTTCTCATGGGATAGACATCGGGGCAGATGGAGAAGGACCTGGATGCTCCTGAGGATCTGGGACTCAGGCTGTCACAACAGTGGTCTCCAAGCATGGGCACTGCAGGGACCAGCTGGCCTCTACCACCATTTCCTCTACCAAGACCTGCAGAGAGGGGCTCTCTTGAGATGGTCTTGATGTTTGAAGAGGCCTGTGAGGGAGCCCGGACTATGACTTGATCTGCCACCTGCCCTGATCAGGTCCCTGAGGACCTTGTCATCTTCATCATGAGAAGGGCCTCAAGTTAGCTTCCTACTGCAGAGCCTGTGCCTTAGGAAGCTACTTAGCCACTTTCAAAAATTCTTCTTTCAAAATACTACCAGCCTGGACACAGCACTGTGTGCCAGAGTCCCAGAGACTGAAAGGCTGAGGCAGGAGGATCTCCTGAGCCCAGGAGTTAGAGGCCAGCTTGGGCCGTCTAGTGAGACCCTGAATCAAAAATTAGAGCAAAAACTATCAACACTACTCTGTCATAGTTTAAAAACTGAAGGCAGGTTAGAAGGGGCACCGAGCCCCTGAGGTATCTGGGCTTTGTGGGAGTATATGGAGCAACATGGAATCTATATTTTACTTTGATTTTATGCAGCACTGGAGCAGGAACCCTGGAGCATTCTGCTGAGCTTTGTCCCTAGCCCTTTTTTATTTTTAATTCTGAGACAGGGTCTCACTCATTTCACAGAGTTCTCAGGGTAGGGTGAAACTTATGATCCTCCTGCCTCAGCCTCCCTCAGTGCTAGTATGACAGGCACGTGCCCCACCAGGCCTGGCTAAATTAGTTCACTTTGAAAGCATAATTGAAACAGGAAATTACTGCATCAGAAGAAAGAGCAGGCTGCAAGGCTCCCGTGTTGTCTCCAGGGCTGCAGGACAAGGACAGGAGGGGTTGGGACAAGTGGAGCTATGGTTGCCACCTGGGTTCCAGACCTGGGAACAGGAACAATAGTGCTGGGGACAAGGGGCAGGTGGAGCTGACTTGGACAGGGCAACCTTCATATGCCTGGTCTCCAGCACAGGCCAGTGGATCGCTGCGCACTGGCCTTGACTCCCATGCTTCTGGGTTCTCCTGACCCATGTCTCTGCTTCCTGTCTCCACCGCGGGTTCCCCTGCTTCTCAGTGTCCACTGTTTCGGCGCCAGGCTCCAGGCCGGTCCCCCCCTCTCCCCTCCTTTGTAGCCTGGAGAGAGCCTGGCCCAAGTCCAGCTCCAGCCCAGACTTCTCCCAGAGACCCAGTCTCACAGCTAACCACCTAGGGGACCCATCTCCTCTGTCTCTCATCAAAAAGCCTCCCACTCTCCCCAAGTCGCCCGCACCCCTCCCAGCAAAGGGCGACTCACTGCTTCCAGCTGCTCAACTGAAAGCCTTGGAGTCCCACTGGGCACTCAGACACCACAGGCAGTTTCACCACATCCCACTGCTTGTGAATTAGCAATCTACCAGGATTCCCCGCTTCCCTGACCACCTCCACTGGGCCATCCGGAGCTTATGCTCCTGTTACCTCAGAGGCCACCTGTTTGGTCCCGACTGCTCAATGGCCAGGTGAATTTTGTCTATGCGTTTTCTTTTTTCCTTTTTTTTTTTTTTTTTTGTCTTTTTCCTTTTTATCGGTACCGGGGATCGAACTCAGGACTGCCTGCTTGCAAGGCAGGTGCTTATGCCGCTGAGCTAAACCTCCAGCCCCCATGTCTATCCGTTTTCAAAGCTGAGGATCAAACCCAGACCTTGTGCTGTGCATAAAGCGCTCTGCCCTGAGCTACATCCCTAGCCCCAGATTATTTTATTTTTTAAATCTGTGATTTAAAACTCCATGTTTGCAAAATGATCACCTTCATTGTGAGGAGGAGGTGTGTGCATAACTCAAAAATAATTCTTTTTTTCTGTCCTACCCCTCTCCTCCCACCCCTTGCAACTCTTGGTCTTCTTTCCAGTCACAAACGCTGTTTCCTTTTTTTCCTTTCTTTATTCTTTCCATCCCTTACTCATTTGAGAAAGATCCAAAAGACAAAAGGAAACAAAAATCACCCTAATTTCTCTACTTCCGGTTACCTTTTATTTTGCTTTTTATCCTTTGGGTTTTTCATAGAAGAGAAGCCATGTCCTATTGAAGCGTATGAGCCTGGTTTACTTCCCTTAATCTGGGGATCTCAAAGTGCATCTATTTTCCTGCAAATCCCTCAAGTTTATCCTTGTGCCAAGATTCCATCTCGCCCCAAAAGGAATGGCCATCATCAAAAAATCAAATAATAGGGGCTGGGGATTTAGCTCAGCGGCATAAGCGCCTGCCTTGGAAGCAGGCAGTCGTGAGTTCGATCCCTGGTACCGATAAAAACGAAAAAGACAAAAAAAAAAAAAAAATCAAATAATAACAAATGCGGGACAGGCTGCGGAGGTGGGGTGGGGTGGGGCGCTTATTTTAAATCAAGAGAGATCCATAGCTGCCCATTCACACCACACCCCCTTCTCAGGGTGCAACCCTAAGTCCTCTCAAAGCCTTCAGGGACCGATTCCCTCCACCGAGCCCCCTCCTGTTCTGGGCCCAACCGGCCATGCCTAGATGCCCAGGCCTCACCCCGGCTTAAAGCCCCACTCCACCAGGCTCCCCGGAAACCGTCGTTTCTCCGCACCTCGCGGCTGCCAATTTGGCCAGCTTAGCTCATCAGGGACCCTAGCTGGCACTCAGGCGCCTCTCCTGTTGGGTCCGGGCTTGGGGTGGGGAGGTGACAGTAAATGGAGCAGACAGTGACAGGACAAGAGGTCAGCGGGACTAGCCCCAGGCTGGGGATGAAGGCGGCCTGGAAGTCGGGGCGTCGCGACCCCCAGATGGGTACGGGAGCCTGTGCCAGGCGAGTGCACGAACCCGCAGCTCCTGCGCTCACGAGTGCGGCGGGACTCCGCATGCACACGCGGGGCGGCAGATGCGCGCCAGGGCTGCGGGGCTCCCGCACTGGTCAGGAGGGTCCCTACAGCCACACTGTCCCAAGCGCACCACTCCCGAACGCCGCTACGCTGAGCGCGTGGAACCCCCAGCCGGCGCTTCTCGACCCCCATGGGCCCCGCCCCCGCGTCCCGCTTCCCGTCCAATCAGAAGGCGCGACCCTCCGAGACTCCGCCCTTGACCGACTCACCGCTGGCCAATGAGCGGCCGCGCCCGGCGCCCAGTGCGCACAGCCCGCGCGGAGCCGGCTCAGAGCGAGAAGAGCGAACCCAACCCGTCGGGGCCGCCGCTCCGGACCCGCCAGCGCCGCGGCCGCCGCCTCCTCCCCCCGGTCGGGTGTACTGTCCCAACCCGAAAGTCCAGTTCTGCGGCCCGGCAGCGGCGAGCGAGCGGGCGCGATGACACAGGAGTACGACAAGTGAGTGAGGCGCCGGCCGGGCCGCGCGGCGCCGCGATCGGCCCGTGCGGCCGCTATGCGCGCCCGGGGCCCGGGCAGCCTCGCCGGCTACCGCCGCCGCCCGGCGGGGCCCGCAGCTCACGGTCGCCCGGCGCGCGTGGCTGGCATCCCGCGCCGCGGGAGCCGCGACCCGGGCGACGGCCACGGGCGAAGGGGACTCGCGGGGCCCTGGCATCGTCCGCCACGCTCGGCCGGTCCGGGGCCGAGGACGCCGCCGGGCTTCCCGTCCTGTTTGAAAGATCAGGAGTAGCAAGAGGAGGCTGGAGTTGGGGCGATGGGTTAGGACGGACCGCGCGGGAGCGCGCCCCGGGAGCTCGCGACTGCACAAAGTATTTTGTTTGGCAGAGGGAAGGGGATGTAAGACCAGGGAAGCCAGGCCCGGGAGCTGGGCTCTGCGCTTGGCAACTTGTAGGTAGCTATGAAACTGCCTCAAAATTTTTTTTCTGGTGCTGGGAATTGAGCCAGGACCTTTGCACTGAGCTACATCCTTGGCCTTTTTTGTCTTCCTTGTTCTCCTTCTCCTTATTTTATTATTTATTATTCGGAGATTGCTCAGCCAGCCTCAACCTCCCAAAGTACTGGCGGGAGGGACCAGAAATACACTTATTTTTTTAAAAAAGAAATTCACGCCCAGCCAATCAAGGCTGTTTTAGATCAGTAAATTCAAGGCAGATAGCTTTATGAAGTGTTTCCAAAGGATCCTTTTAGGTGTGCAATTTTTCTGGATGAGGCTGGATATCCTGTGTGGAGTCATCTCCAAGGCGTTTAGTTTTGGGTGTAGAATATGCAGTTCAATTAATTCTTCGCTTGAACTCTGTTTCAGACCCCTGAGTACCCAGGTGCCTTCAGGGCTTGACCATAGCTGGAGGGCTGTGAAGAAGCCAGGACTCAGGACAACTGCTTCTGTGTTTGTCTTGCCTTACAGCTCAGATAAGGCAAAATTTTCCAAAGCTAACGTCATCTGGAACCGGAAGACTTCCTCTCCCAAGATGGAGACAGCCTGAAAGGATGAGATCATTGGCTTTGGCACCGGAGAGTTGCAGGCCCTTCTCTGTATCACAAAGTTCCTCATTAGAGAAAGTGACCCCCGATTCAGCCTTAAACATTATTAGTTAACCCAACTTATTTGACAATAACTTTTTTCGTATCGTTATAAAAAACCCTTTACTACAGGCAGTATCAGTCCATCATTGCACTTTCAGAAGTAACCAGAAGGCCTAGTGTGCACATGACAGGAAAGCAGGTGGTCACCATCTATATCCCCACCCTTAGAGAAGGCCTCATGTGACAGACTAGTAAATGCATTGGACAACAACAAAAAAGCATCTCAAATACAAAACACAGAAGACATTTCAGTTGAGAAATCAATTTTTACCTTTTTGTGAATGGACTTCAAATCAACATTTGTTACTATGATATTCTGAAGTCTGGCAAACATATCAGTCTGTTTTGGCTTCACAGAAACAGAGGCGTCCATTCCTAGGGAAGGCAAGACTTTCACAAAGGATTCATTCAATCCAGATGAGTCAAGTGAGCAGTGCTGTGTTCAGTAACATACTACTAACATACAGAGTCAACACAAGCTATTATTAGACATACTGGTATTGTTATACCAGTATTCACGTATGAGGTATGTAAGACAGGTTACACCTTTAAGTACTTCATGCATCTTACATAAAAGTTGTGAGTTTAAAACCAAATAAACAAAACACCTAGCCAGACCTGGAGGTGGAGGCCTATAATCCCAGTACTCCAGAAAGCTGAGTCAGGAGGATCCCAAATTCAAGCCCAGCCAGGGCAACTGAGCAACTTCAGAAGAAATTAAGTTCTCCTGGCTCAAAATTACAAAACGTTTAAAAACTAGTGTGAGAGTATAGTTCAGTGGAAAGCCTCTGGATTCAATCCCACAAAGGAAAGACAGGAAAGAAGGAAAAGAGGAGGAAAGGAGGAAGGGTAATGTGCTGCTTCATTCTTTCAAGCCGACAACATCAAAAGGTCACAAGTGTCTTTCAGAAACTCCTTTGCCTATGCTACATACGGGGAAAAGGCAAAATAAATAAACTATTTTTTAAAAATTCTGTGATGTCTCAATTATCAGATTATTCTAAAAATACAAGTACAGAAACAAATTAAGGCCTCAGATATAATCTGAAATTTTTAAAATACACATGGAATGTCTCAAGTCAGAAAAGAATTATAACAAATTTACTACAAACATCTCCAAATATACCTTTAACCTTCAGTGTAAGGAAACAATGTTTGACTCATAAGAAATTCACCCCTACAAGCTCACTTTTGCTGGATGTTTATATAACAAAACAGAATTACTCACCATGTATTTTAACATCAGCTGTAGAACACTTCTGATCACAGACAACAACATTAATAGCATCTAATTCAGCTGTAACCTTTAAATCGAACATATCCTCTTTAGAAATGGTGCCAGATACTAAAAAGTAATAGAAAATTTGTGATTGGCAAAGTGTAAAGATGATAGAACACACAAAATAATTTCAAATTCAATAAAATAAAATTGTACTAGGAGGAGCCAAAAAGCTCTCCATTAAGATAAAATGTGACTTTGAGTCAATTTTCAAAAACCAACCCAAAATAGCAGTTTCCCTTCAAATTAAGAGTAAACACAACTACTGTTAACATCCTGATTGTGTTATTCATGACATGAAAATTTCACTGATTTTCCTTCCAGAATAAAATAAAACACTTTAAATTAGAATTCTATTCTATTCGTCTAAAAGTTTGATTTTAAAACCTGACATATATTAAAACAGTAACTAATACAGAACTAAAATATGTTGACTAGTTAACACAGTTCATTTTATTTACTATGGCACTTATTATACATGTTATTTAACTATGGAAGCAATCCAATTTTACTACAGTATATGCAATGGCTCTATAAAGAATTGTAAAATAAATTCAGAATGGATAAGATATAAATATAAAGGACTACAGTTCTTTTAAAGTTCTTTCCTATAAAACTGCAAAACCATCAGGATATGTATTAGTAATTAATCCCCATTACATGATGATAAGCTGGTTTTTTCCCTAATACCAAATGTGGCAACATCAAACCATGAAGACCAATCATACAGCAAAACCACAAGACTGTTTCTATGAATTAAAATTGCTTGTAGGTTATTGTAATTTTAAATGTTTATTTTTCATGTATTCAACTATTTTTCTATGTATTCTATTTATATGTTATAACAGAAGAATCCAAGGATATTACCTCTAGATACTGTACTGCTGTTGCAAGCAAATTAACAATAAAATGGGTAAAACGCTTTTACTCTAGTTTAGAACAATTCGCTATCTTCCAAGGTTAAAAAAAAATCAGATCCTTGTATCAGATGTAATGGTAATAACAGTTTTATTCTAAAGATCCCAGTAATACCAATCTATTCTAATTGAATTACTGTATGTTACAAGTTCATATCATACAATGTGAAAAACCAAAATGATGCTTGCTCTATAAACCAATACACATTCTCTATTGACTGTAGATACTTCAGAGCTAACATTTCACAGCTCAAGGTATCTGCCTAGCAAACATGTCCCCAGATCTATTTAGAAACAGAATGAGTCCATCTTCTCTGTGAGATTCCTTCAGTGCGCACAAGGCTTGAAGCCTGCTCAGCACTAGACAGGACTGGGCGCAATACAATTTTGTAACTATGCGTGACTGCATTCGAACTTTAACTTCTTCCTTTCTCATTTCTATTGCACTGAAGAATGCAAAGAGATGTCAATGCAAAAAAGATGCTATCTAGCCAGTAAAATAAAAAAAACACACACCATCAAACAACATTTATTTAAAACATTTCAATAAACTGATGTACAATCCTATAAGGAAAAATTTTGAGTTCTTTCAAAACTAACTTAAACTGTCAAATCAGGTATAGTAACATCAAGTATAGTAACATCAAGTAGAGTATAGTAACATCAAGATAGTAAGTATCTTCTTAGCTTAAAATACATTACAGTATTATATGAGAGAAAGCATTTGACCATTACTCAAAAATTAATACCAGCTTTGATGGCAATACTTCTGGACTCCCCTACAAGTGGTTTTAGCTCAGATTCCTTCCTAGAAGACGACTCAGAGGATGGAGCAGCCGATGACAAAAAATCCATAAGGGAAAGTAAAGCTTCTAAATGAAGTAATATGTCTAAGGATGAAAATGAAACCTAAGAAAACAGAGAGGCAGAGTAAGACATAGTAACATTTGTGTTAAGTTTCAACACACACAACTAGCACAAGAGCAGTTCAATTAAAGAAAGGCCCTTAAAAAAATGAATTACTACCAGCATCAATTCTTAGAAACACTATTATGTTAATTGTAATCAGTCAGTAAACCAATACTCTTCCCACTCCTGTGTGCAAACATAATTCTATTGTCCACAGGGTTTGAGTTTTAAGAAAATGTATAGGAAGTATCCCAACACTGACCCATCTGCACAAAGGGAATGTGAACAACATCCTTAATCCTAATGCCAACACACAATGCTAACATTTAATGCTGAATCAGTATCAGGCCAAATAACTATGGACAGCATTTCCTTGAGAATACATTATTTGTTGTATAAGTAAAGAGCAATTTACATCTGAGAAACAAGCAATCTCTTTATAAATCAAATTAACTTTATAAAAAGTGTATTTTAATTCTATATGCACTGGCTTTATCGACAAAATTAATCTATTTTTATTTTCACAATATTCTAATGTTAGCTCAACCTTACAACTCAAAATGGCTATGAAGCTACATTTAATCATTACCAGCTTACCTTTAGTCTCTGTTTGGTATTGTCATGAACAGTTTTAAATTCCGGTCCATCACTGTCTGCCTACAAACAGTGGGTAATTAAACCAATGGATTACAAACACTAAAATTCCATGTACTGAATAAACATCCATTTTTTACTTATTAAAGTATGCTATTAAAACACTATAAAACACATTTCTTATAGGTAAAGAACATGATTTAAACCACATCTCCCATCCTACAGATGAAAAGAACTACTCTGGAGGAAATACTAATGGACAAATCTGAACTGCAGGGGAAATGCTTGTGTACTGGATGATAATACACTCTGCTTCAGAACACAGCACAGCTTTTCTGTTCCACTTGTCCAAACCACTTGTCTGGTTTCCCTAGAGAAACCAGAAAGTTAACGAGTGTGTGCAGATGCTTTCAAATTCATCGCAGTCAACCCAAGGATAAAGCACACTTTCAAAGGAGAAAAACTGGAGCACTAAACATGAAGGGAACAGACATAACTTAGCATATTCAGGAGTTAGACAGAAAGCTGGTACCGTGGTCAAGGCCATCTTCAGGAGCGGCTCCTTAGTCACGCGAGAGGAGCGCACGATGTGCAGAGGGCCTCCTTCTGCGTCTGGGGGCAAGAGACAGGCTGGTCAGCACTGCAAATGCCTCACACTTCTTACACAGCATGAACAGCCAGTTACATTAAGGTATGTTCATCAACACTAAGAATTTTACACTAAATATGAATTACACTGCTAAATTTTAGTGTAAATTTTACACTAAATATGAAATCATGCTTCAAGAAGCCTGGCTTTGAAAAGAGAGAAAAATCCCTAAAAACAACAAACCCAGTACCAGTCAATTATATAACCTGTGAGATGTGAAAAAATGTTCAGCATCACTGATCATTCAGAGATGCAAATGAAAACATCACTGAGATTTCACCACACCCCGGAAAGAATGGCCAGGATCAAGAAATCAACCAATAACAAATGCTGGAGGGGCTGTGGGAAAAAAGGAACCCTTCTTCACATTGGTGGGAATGTAAACTGGTGCAACCACTGGGAAATCAGTGTAGATTCCTCAAAAATCTAGGATTGGAGGGCTCACAGTCTAGCTATTCCCAACTGGGTGTCTTCCCAAAAAAATTAAGAGCATCATACCACAGTGATACATGTGCACTCATGTTTATAGCAGCACAGTTTATAATAGCCAGATCTTGGAAAAAACCTAAATACCCAGTGATTGAGGAATGGATAAAAACAAATGTAGTGTTTTTATGCAATGGAGCACTACTCAATCATAAAGAAGAACAAACTAGAGACTTTTATAGGTAAATGGATACAACTTGAGACCATACTCATTAGTAAAATAAATAAGACACACATGCGTAAACATCATATTGTCTCATTAGCATGAAAAGCTGAAAGAAACAACATATATATGTGTATATATATATTTATATATAAAAACAATCAAGATAATTTAAAAATTATGTAACATTTGATACTACTACTATTACTCATTTGAGCAAATCACATATTATATGCTATAAAGAACAAAACTATAAAATACATAAAAGCAGGGATTATTCTCAATATGAGCTTGTTTTGTTTTGAGACAGGGCCTGGCTATGTAGTGCGGGCTGGCCTTGAACTCCCAGAGCTCCTCCTGCCTTGGCCGCTTAAGTGCTGGGGTTACAGGCATGCACTACCACGCATGGCACAAGCGTGTTTTCCTAAAGCTCTTCCACAGAGTTCTTATAAACCTTAAATGTCACCAGAAACTTTTAAAAGTTGTCTCATATCACATTGTTCCTTTTCTATGAGAAATCCAGCATAAAGATGAAGACAGCTTAGGAAGAGGAAAGGGACAAGTGTGGGGGACAGGTGAGGGAGGGAAGGGAAAGGGAATGAAGATGTGTGGTGTAAGGTGTCAACTCCACACAAAGGAAGGGAACTTTACACACTACGCACATGTACTAGCACACTAAAACTAAGAAAGAGAAAATGAATTTAGGAGATCCAAGAAACTCACAAAACAACAATTTAGTTTTTACTTGAGGGGAAAAGAGACTTCTGGATTATGTTAAATTTTTCCTTCCATAAACTTCTGTATTGCTGAAATTTCCTTTTTCATAAGCATATAGTGATATACATGAGAAGAAATTTTAAAATACATGTAATTTTGAAATGAATAGCAACAAATAAACTAACTCAACTTTCCCAAGTAAGTCCCTGTATGTACCCAGGTCCTGGTCTCCTGATGGATCAGCTCTCGTGGCACAGTTACAACGAAACAGTGCCTTTCCTAAGTACTGAAGTATCACACACAGTGACAAGTGGCTCCTTTTCCAGAAATACTCTACTCTACACTACCTGAGTATGTATGTGTAACTAGGTAAGACGGTAGGTTTTAAACCGTCACATGCCTTCGCATCAATACATTTAACCTGAATGATTATGGTGACACATGCGGGGTGGCGATCCAGAAGACCACCTGCCTACTGCATAACTCACTGACCAGTGAAATCCAGGCACCGCATGCTGACTTGCTGGAGATAAGCTTCAGCGGTCACGGCATAAGCTTGAACTCTAGCTTCCACTCCAAGCTGCAGGACACTGAGCTCGTGCACTGGCCTCCCACTCTTTTCCGCCTTTTTCATCAGCATCACCATAACCTGTAGGAATGCACCAGTATTACCACCCACGATTTCACTGCTGCACAAGAATTTAATAAGGACACTGATACAACACTGAGAGTCACACAATGTAAAAACGTCCACCTTCTTTGGTGACTGGAGGGGGCATCATTTACCCGAGGCGACACCTATGCTTGTTCAGACTGAAGCACTGCCACTTTTTTCTAGTGGTTTTCTCCACCCTGACCACTGTCCTCAGGGAAGGGAACTACCATAGTATCTACAGCAAATCATATTACAAAGGACTGACAGGTTTTCCATCTACTTATGTTAATTACACACTTGTCAAAAAATTGACTCCGATCAGTCTTTTAATTATCAAGCTTAAAAATCTTCAGTAACTAAGCTAAGCATGGTGGCACACGCTTGTAATCCCAGCACTCGGGAGGCTGAGACAGGAGAATCATATAGCAACTTTGAGACCAGCCTGGGCTACAAAGTAAGCTCAAGGCCAGACTGAACTGCAGAGGGAGACCCTTTCTCAAAAACACAAACAAATAAAAATAAAAATAAAGCTTATGTAACTGATATTACACAGAAAACATACTGGAGGTTTAACAATCCAGAATCTAGTTGCGAAGTGAACACAGAGCCCATTCATTCATCTTTAGCTCAGAGGAAGAGCATGACATTTAGAGAACTACGCAACAACCAGGTATTTTGGGAAAGGTCCGTGGTTCCCTGTACGCTCTATGCTTTCTCACAACTTCATGCCCACTCCAGTCCATCCTGCCCCCCCCTTTCTTAATCTCCTTTTCTCAGGTTATTTACTGCTGCTCTTTTAAAAGCTCAACTCAAAGTTACACTTCCTGCAGGAAAACTCAGTTTAATACACTTGCGGACCCTCTCGGTTTGCTCAGATGCACCTTCCCTACCACCAGTGCCACAACCTTAACAGAACCCTAACTGAGCACATCTTTAAGGGGGAACAAACACCTCCGAGCTCAAGGTCTAGGCATCTAAATACCTAGCACATGCAATGAATACGTGCTGAGTGTGTGCGTGAGGGAGAGGAAAAGCTACCTGACCTTTCCTCAACAATCTGTAAATGGAAGTACACTGACCGAGTACCATTCTGCATGAGTACTATAACGCTTAGTGTACACTTACTGGTTTTATTCTCTTTAGAATTTCTAACATTTGTAAAGGATTTTGCATCACTAGTTCCCTGTCTTGTTATGCTTAGATAATAAAAAACGCAAAGCAAGACACATTCTGGCTGTCTCATAATCATTAAAAGGAAGTTATAGAAAATCCTACAGCTTTCTCTATGTAATCTTATATCCCCCAAACATAACTCATCCTTAAACTCTCAAATTTTAAACATCATTACATGTAAATAGCCTACCTAAGATTTTTTCACCCATATTAATTACCAGAAGCTTATTTTAATACAGGTAATTCTACAAATCCATTAACTTACCTCTCTACAAAAACATGAAAATCACCTACCTCTTTAATTTCAAAATTCAGCAGTACATTAACAATGTTTACAGATCTAATTTCTTCTCTTTCAGCTCTTGAAGCATCTTTCGAAGCTTGTAATCTCTGTGATGTAGAAATTTCAGGGGCATCTTTGATTTCACCTACAGATGTTAAAAAGAAATTCACTCACTTCTATGCACACATTTCTTACACACTCAGGAGGACATGGAGAAGTGCTCTGGACCTAATGAAGGAACTAAAAATCCATAAACCAATAACCCTTCTGGCCCTCAGAAAACCCACAGTTTAGTACAAGAGACATATACATTTAAACTAAAAACAAAAGACTAGGCATGGTGGCACATACCTATAATCCTGGCACTCTGGGAGGCTGAGGCAGAAGAAAGGCAAGTTCAAGCCCTGCATGGGACTATTAACAACTCAGCAAAACTATGTCTCAAAAAAATAAATAAAATACTAAAAAGGCTGGGGATGCATCGCTTTGAGTTCAATCCTCAGGAAGGGTGGATAGACAGACACACAGACACGCATGCACACCCACACACCTACACCCACACCCACACACACACACACACACAGTCTGCCCACTAGCCAGCCAGGCAGCCATACCTACTCACATGGAGTGGACAAAGGTTAACAGACTCTAAGGTGCACAGATGACACCAAACAAGGCACAGCCTGGTTCCAGCGTGGGGAAGAAAGGCCTGAGGGCGGAGGCATCCTCCAAGCAGAGCTGAAGACATGCTCCCGAAGAGTGGCTCCCTACAGCTTCACATAAAACTCGGGGAGATACGAGACCCTCCACGGTGGGACCGGTCGGAGCACAGTGACCTCTGGGCAGATGGGGGCACTATCTAGGCCTCGCGAGCCATGCTGCACCTCACTCACAGGGATGACACAGGAGCACACACTATAAAAACTCTGCCTCGCACACAAGATGTGTTCATGGATGTTACAATACAGTCAGAAAAACCCTGAAATCCTATGTTTCACTTTAAAAAGGGGCAAAACGTTTTAAATCTGGTACTATCTGGTGTTATAAAGGCACGCAAAAGCTACCCAGTAGGAGTACAAACCTAACACAAGTTCTTTAGTGAGCAATCAGCAAGATCTGCCAAATGATTACATCAATTTGTTAGATTTTTATGTAACTACTAATAAATTTAAATTAATAAAGATTGCACAGGCCTTAACTGGTATTTTCTTATGATACACAAGTGCAAATTCAGTGCAACGTGATACAAATGAAACTTTGGAAGCGTGAAATTTCTGTCACGAGAGACTTGCTAAATAAATTATGGCACGTACTTCCACAGGCTCTAATACCAGGCCACCATTAAACAGAATGAAAGCCGCAGGCATGCTGGCAAAGGCCTGTAATCTCAGCACTCTGGGAGGCGCTGTAAATCAAACTCAGCCTGGGCAGCTCAGCAACACAACAAGACCCTACCTCGAAATCTAGGAAAGGGCTGGGAATGTAGCGCTGTGTACAGCCCTAGTACTTGTGCCCTTCGGTGCCATGAAAAAAAGACAAAAATGAAGACAGCCTAAAGGGAGCACATAAACAGATATAAAAAGTACACACAAAAGATACTGATAATTTAGGAAAAACATAGCAAGGTTCACAAACACAGGTGCTAATTTGAAAAACACTGAAGATTATATCAATATGTGTGTGTGCATAACACATTATTTATATACATAAGTGTGCGTGTGCGTGTGTATATACAGCAGCATGGAAAGTATGTAGTGGTTAAGCCAAAAAGGCCGTATCTGATCATTTAAATTTGCTTACATATTTATTGCAGCATGTTCTGGGATCTTCGGAAGGAGTGATAATTTATCAACTATTTTAATTCTTACAGACATCTGACTACTAAGCCTAATTTAAAAATCATATGGAATGTGCTACCACAGCTTAGTGGCAACTTAATTGCAAATTTAATAATTACTCCAGGACTTCATAATACCTGCTTGCTTAACTAATAAGAGTCAAGCATCTTTAACCACGATGTGTTATTTTCTGTTTTTGCTTTTATTTTTAAGACAGGATCTGTGTAGTTCACACTAACCTTGAACTCGCCACGTAGCACAGGCTGGAACTCAGGACAACTCTCCTGCCTCAGGCTCCTAAATGCTGGGCCATCAGCAGGCAGCAACGTGTCCAGTTAACACATTTCCACTGGGTGGCACTTTGTTTATTTGCTGGTAATACAAATCCAAATCATGAATGTGTACCTGCTTACCTCACGTGTCCTGTCTGTGCTGGGCTGCAGGTGCAGCACAGGGGTAGTATGTGCACCTTAACTCCTAGACTCTGGATTCAAATCCCAACCCACCATACAGAGAAGAGAACGATGTCTTCTTATTGTCTATCAAACAGCAAAATAACTGTGAAATATTAGCCACCTACTGTGCATCTCTTACCTGTCTCTGGTACTCTTGGTTTCACTTTATCTAACTCTTCAGGAGTTTCACCAAGATTTTCCGACAGTATTCTAAACAAAACATTAAGATCTTCTTGATTTAGACAAACCTGTGAAATATTAGGTTCAAAAGGTAGATATATTTCATTTAAAATGCAGCAGTTTATTACAGAACATTCTCAGAAACAAAGCATGAAGCACAGAATAACCCTACCTTACCAAAAATATATACAATCACTACACACGTGTTTCACTATTTCATGTTAACATTTTATTTTCAAAGATAGTAACATAAATCAACATTCACTCCACTGACTTAATTTATATTATTTTTTACTGAAAGGTATAATTAGAGAGTTGATTTTTTAAAAAGACATTCTGCAAATACATCCAATTTTGTTTGTCTGTTTGTTTAAACTGAGTGAAACAAAATGGCTGTTTTCAGTTACCAGGCACTTCTCCCAATGCTATAATTATCTTAGAGGTACTACTTAGATGACCTTAAAAATTAAGTGATATATGATATACAGCAGACATGAAACCAGGAAAATTTGTGCAGATTTCCTTCCATATGTACAGAAAATGTAAAAGTTAAATATTACTTATTTAGAGATTTTTACTGAAAGGGGTAATACCTTTTTGAACTGTATCTTACTGAAATTCTTACATCATTCAGTAAAATACTCTACTTTTCAGGGAGTTCTATATTAAGAAAGTCTTCAGAATGTAAGACTTCAATGACCAAGGGTTTTTTTTTTTTTTTTTGCTCTTGTGCACTTACATTCATTGTATCAAAATGTCCTTTAATTTCCACAACAGGTATCTTATGATACCAATTTGCAGCAAGATTTCGATTTACAAAAAACTCAAAGTTAATTGGGTGCAACAGCTGAATATCAGGCTGGGAGGTGCCTGGTTGGATCACTGTCCTAAAGAAAAACAGAAACATCAGATGTGGACATGTATGAGGGAAACACAACAAGAGCCTTTGCTCTTAAAACAGCAAAGGCAAGCGGTCATTTGCCTTTTTAAAATACTGATTTGAAGCAGAGTTACTTGAATTTTTCACTTCAAAACCAACTTATAATTAATTGATAATCCACTATCAGGGACAAATTACACTGTACACTGTACACTATTAAGAAAACATTTTTCTTTTAAAAAGAAATTTACACCGTTGAAGATGTGCAAGAAATCATCAAACTGTTTCTTGAGGACTAGCAGAGTTAAAATCACCAAACAGAGGTATTCAAACATACTGCTACAGTGGACCAGGAATGTTTCCACAAGATCAGAATGGAGAGGACAAATGACTGCTGCCTAGAGATGTCACGACTGTCCTTGGTGGTAGTGCAAGGCACGATGTGTGGGCGTGGAGATGCTGCTGTGAGCAAGCCTACTGTACAGCCAATCACACAGAATCACAGCACATCAGACCACACAGAGTACAAAGTCTTGATCATAAACTACTGTCACTGGCTTATGGATTTATTATACTTTTATTACGTTAGACTATATTTTATTTACCAAACAAATGTAACTAAAACAGCTTGCTCCGTCACACTGACAACAGCCTCATCATCTCTTGCTGACTGTGGATCCGGATTACAAAAGACCACATCAAAATAACTGACCTACACCAGCAAGGCTCATCCAAGGAGCACTGTGACGTTCACACAATGATGAAATCGCCCACAACTCGTTTCTCAGAAGGCAGCCTCACTGCTAAGTGATATGTGACTGTGCGTTTGTTGGTATGGAGACCAAAAAAGACAACAGTAACAGAAACATTCTCAAATCACATGTCTCACAAATTTACTCTCCAACAGTATTTTCTGCAACTGTCTTATGAGTATTACTTTTTAAAATATGGATAGTTAAATCACCTTGGATGGAATAGGTCCTGAGTTTTCATTTTTTGTGTGTCTTCATGTCTCACACAGTGTGAGCACTGAGGGTATTACTTAGAGAGCATTCAGGCCAAAAATGCTTCGGCTTAATCAAAACCCATGAGGAATCACTCAAAAAAAGAGTTGTTTCATGGAACAGCCAGATTATACCTCTCAAAACCAGCATCATTGTAAGAGACAGAAAAAGGTGTAAGAACCATTCTAGAGAAAGCATTTATCAGGACAGAAGTTCTTCTCAGTAAGAATGGAAACAGTTATGTGTGATTCTGGAAGGGGAGGGGAAATTACTACAAACAACATCACTGCAACAAGTGATATGACCTTAATGCAGACTGCACGTTAGGTGATATTACGGTGATACTATATTTTCAGAATCTCATAAATACATTGTAGTTAACATCAAGAGAATGAATTTTCTTGTTTATAGGACACACATGGTGAAATATTTAGGGGCAAAAGGTCAAGATGTCTATTATTAAATGATTCAGCAAAAATGTTTTACATTGTAAAGATGCTGTAAGTAAATGACAGCAAATGTATAACAGACTGGTGAATGTAGATGAAACATTTATGTGTACAGTCTTTATTTTTCCACTTTTAAAAAGGAAAAAACCACTAATTCTGTGAAACAGCAACCTGTTGAGTATGAACTTGAATGATCATGAAATATCATAGAAAAAGTGAACCTAATACTTAAGCCCGGAAACACTGGAGAACACACCTGGACAGCTTCAGGTCCGTGAGCTGCACATCCATTCTATCGATCACAGGAGGATTTACAGACCCTTCCCCAGACACAAGACTGAACTGGTTCTGAACTCTGATCAAACCAAGGTCCACCACAACAGCGTTGCTGGAAACAGAAGACTGTGGGATGACAATAACGGGTGCTTTCAAATTAATGCTGACAGAGAAGCGCAAACTCCGCTGGGCAAGGTCTTTCACACTGGTGGCGGCCTTTTCTGCAGCCTGCGCGGTGGCTGCGCTCAGGGCCTCTTTGGCTGTCTGGAAATTGTTCAGGAAGTTCTGTAGACACAAAGGAAGTACGGAGAAATTGAAACAGAAAGCAGGCTCTCAAGAGGGACACCACCTTTTGTCTCCATGATGCTGACACCTTTTAGGACAGGTAACTTTCTGTTAAGCCTGCTGTGACCATGTTAGATGGGAGCAACTACTAACTCATCCAAGGTCACGAGCTGCCTGGCTTACACAGGGGTTACACAGGGTTACACAGCTAAGGAAAAGGAAGGACGGAAATCCATTTTCATGATTTGTGCATGGAAGAATGCGGCTTCAATACTTACTCTAACAAAAGTAACTTCAATTCAACACAAAAATCATTAAATCACTCAGATTTTAACTGTTAAGACAATTTACTTGAACCTTCATACATAACTACCACATCTAATCAAACAATATCACCTACAATGCAAGATTTGGAACACTTGCAATCATAACTATCAGCATTGTTTCCTCAGCTGAAAAACTCATATGAAAATAGCGATTTTACCAAAAGGGACACAAGGAACTTATGAAGATAGACAATCTGAATGCAGCCAACATTCAGCGACACCACGCCATCCACTTTGGACATGTCAGTGTATGAATCCCCTTCAGTCGCATCTGGGTACAAATCCAAGTTAAAACGAAAAACTTCATTTCCCATTATTGACACAGCCTGAAAAACAGAAATGTGAACATATTCTTTCTACCAAAGTAATGACAAAGTAAATTACCACTTAGAATATGGTTTATATTTATAATCTTTATAAAAAAACAAACATTTTCATGAAGTATACTTAATTTCAAATACATTACTTTAAAATTGGATTTTATATGCAATCACCAAAAAAAAATAGTAATCATTTATTTAGTCCAACTTACTTTTTTATGAACTGTCTTAGGATCAACGTCTGTAACAATAATATTTTCCAGTCTGGCAAAAAGTGACTGCTTCCTTGACTGAAGAGAAAGAGAAGAGTCGAGGCCTGAAAAAAAAAATTAATATAACTTCTATAGATCTAGAACAAATAAGATATTTATTTCTATTGTATGGTGCAATTTTTAAAAATTTAGCAACATCTCAATTCCCAACTGATCAACAAGCTATAATATTAGATATTTTATACTTTTATAAACACTCAACTTCTAAGTTAATAAACATTAATTACCTGAATTTTCAATCCTCTGACAAAAGTACATGAGAGATGATCTCGGGATTTAGTATATCCCTTATATCTTAAACCCAGGTATCTACATGGAGACTATGGAAGTGTCACAAATCCAGTTCATTCTAGTTGATGTACTACCAGATTAGAAAGGACAAAAAGAAATCCCTACCTTTCAGGTTCTTAAATTCTTAAAGGATTTCATGAAACAGACTGAGCATATCTTTACCTTCAGCAAATGACAATACATTTTTATAACTATTAAGACCAGAGACAGAGTGAGATGCATTTCAGCAGCTTTCTCTATAGACACTGATGGCTCACAGGCTTTCTCTCATTGAAGGGCTGCTGTGCAGAAAGCACAAATGCACAGAGCAGTACTAACCTCCATTCCATCACTACATACAGACAGATAACTACACCCATGATGAATAAGGCTGGTGAAGAGCAGGATGTTCGCAGACTGCGTGTGCAAGCCGGACTGCCACTCCTGCCACCCGTCAGCATTTCTGTGCAGACATGCACTCTTCCACCCTACACAAGCCTGGGCCAGGCCCACAGCACCAGCGCACGCCATGAAGGAGCGGCGATGCCCTTGAACAACTGTGCCCCAAGAAAAAAGCACCCGATTCAACAGTATCCTGCTGGCTCTACCCCTGCCGAAGGCCTCGTTCGTGTATTCTTTAACATTGAAAGGGAATAAATGAAAGAAGAAAAAAAAGCTCATCTTTTAATGAATTTTAACGCTGTATTTTTTACCTTGTTTTTTGTTCTGTTTTGTTTGGTGATGCATGGAATTGAACCCAGTGCCACCAACAGGCTACATTCGCAGCCTTTTTCATTTCGTACTTTTTTGAGATGACGTCTTGGCTAAGTCACTAAGTTACCTAGGCTGGGCTTGAACTCTAGCTCCTCCTGCCTCAGTTTTCTCAAGTATGTTACCTTCTATCTTTTTGGGGTTTTTTGGATCCATGACCCAAACTCAGCACCTCATGCTTGCCAGGCAGGCATTAGGCCACTGGGCTATATCCCCAGAACCTGTTACCTTGTATCCTGATTTCAGCAATACTGCTCTTCTCATTGCAAATGGTGACACAGAAAGCATTTAACTTGGCAAACAGTCTGAAGCCAATAACATCACTGTCTTTAGAGGATACAATCACTAAAAAGAAAATAAGAGTTATTTCACAATACAATTCAGATAATATAAATTCTATTCAAGACTTTTCTATATTAATTGAACCACAATTCTGTTAAACAGAAATATACACATACACAAGTTAAATTACAAACTTAATTTCAAATACTTCTTTTGCCTTACAAAACTAGGCTTTTTAGTAGATGTTCCTTTTGCAATTTAAAAAGAGTCAGTCCCCGACTTATGAACAAATTCTATTCCAGATTTGTTCGTAAGCGAACAAAATGCATCTTATAGTTCAGTCTGAATGTCAGTAAGTTGGTGACGTTCTGTAAAACAAAGTAAATAAGCACAATAAAATTCTGAATAGCTAAACAATGCACCTACAGCCACATAGTTTAAGTAGGAAGGTCAGACTCTGAACTGAGCACTTTCCTTTCTGAAATCTGGGCTCTTGGCTTGTAACACCTATCTGGAAGCTGGCCCTGTCCCTGGGTCAGGATGGCCTCCAAGGCCTCGAGGAGAGTTCTGCTCTCAAGAGCCACTGAAGGGAGGAGAGCACACTACAAATAGAGGTAGCCTCACATGCTGCCCCAAGACAACCCCACACTACAGAAATGAGAACAACAACTTTTTTTAAACAATAGTATTATCTATATTTGCCTCGTGTATCAGATGCTGGTATCTGATTTAGTGCAATAAAAGGGAAAGCAGGAAACAGCATTTGAATTATTGAATTAGCTGACACCTTAGATTGCTCACTGAGCTCTAGAGTTCTAAGACTGCTGATGATAAGAAACACACAAGTCTTTCCCACCTTTCTGCAGAGAGGAATTTGTTTGCTTCTCAGTGGAGATCTGCACCCCTGGTGGGCCGCCCATGCTCTGCCCATCGGAGGGAAGGATGGTTGTCAGGTAGTTAATAGAAGAGAGAAGAGCTTGGGTTTGCAGCAACAAGTTCAAAGAGGAAAAGGCCACCTAAAAAGTTTTAAAACAAAGTTACTTTTCACTGGCAAATGCCAAGCTGCTGTATGCACAAGGGGCCTGACAGGCAGCCAGGCTTGCATCACGGCTTCGCAGCTTCCATCACTGGGAAGACAGCAGCGAGGGAAGTCATGACCCTCAAGGCAGGGGTGCAGAGAGAGCAAATTAGATGTTCTCGCTCAGTGCTCAGCGCAGATTAGGGCACAGGTCCCTAATCACTCCATTTCCCAAGCAGCTGCCCAGGGAGCATATATTCTGCTGCACGTGGCCACCTGTATTCCCAACATGCATCTTTGTACATTTCCCATTCACTACTCATCATGGTCATATAACAAGTTTAAGTCAGAACCTGAAACTCCACAAGCACTACATACTACTAAATCCACGGAGGATTCCAAATGTGGCATCTGTGAGATTAACAATTGGAAGAGTTCTGTTACTAAATCATTAAAACTACAAAAATGGTCCTGTCATAAACACAGAGGAAAGTAAATGTCATAAAAGTACTACACTTTTAGAAAAATGACTCCAGAAAGCTAAGACAACAACACAAATTGCCTCAAAGAAAGTGGTTTTCTAACAGCAAGTTAAAACCAAAAGCTCCTTATAGAAAAGAATCTTTCGTTTTCTCATTTCTGCATGGAAAGAAATGTACACAAACAGTATGCTTATAATTCCAGCACTCAGAGAGACTGAGGAAGAAGGAACACAAGGCCAGACGCTGTCTCAAAATAAAAAATATAACAACAGAAAAACACATGCACACATCAAAGAGGAAAGTTCACCTATTAAACCAGACCCTCTCAACCCTCTTTTTTGGTGCAACCCACAAGCACCAGCTGCCACTTCTTTAGGAGCACTTACCTCCCTCCCTGTGTCCTACACACTTTCTCAGCCCTGTATTACTTGAAGCTTACAATCCTCTCAGCTGTTTATAGATCACTGTTCCCTTATTTAAAGCATTCCCTTCTTTAGAAACAACACTGCAAGGGCTGGGGATTTAGCTCGGCGGCATAAATGTCTGCCTTGCAAGTGTACAGTCGGGATCCCAGCAGTTGGGTGGCTGAGGCAGGAGGATCGTTGCAAGTCCGAGACCAGCCTAGGCTACAAAGTAAGCTCAAGGCCAGCCTGAACTGCAGAGAGAGACCCTGCCTCAAAAAAAAAAAAAAAAATTATAATATGACACAGCCAGCCAAAGTAACAGGGTTAATTTTTGTCCATTTAGTATGATATTGGCTGCTGGTTTGTCACAGATGCTTCAAGAATAAGACAAGGATGTCCACTATCACCACTCCTACTCAATATAGCTCTGGAGACATTATACAGAGTAATTAGACAAGCGAGAGAAATAAAAGGAATAAGGATAGGAAAAGAAGTTGTTAAACTATCATTATTTTCAAATGACATGACATTCTACATAGAAGACCCCAAAAACTATACCAAAAGACTACTACACTTCATCAGATTCGGCAGTGTGCCTGGATACAAAGTCAACACTCAAAAATCAATAGCATTCCTGTACACAAACAACAAACTCACTGACAGAGAAATTATGGAAATAATACCCTTCACCCAAAATATGAAATATTTAGGAATTAAGCTAACAAAGGATATTAAGGATCTATATATTAAAAACTACAATACTCTGAAAAAGGAGACCTAACATGGTATCAGAAAATAGGAAGCCATCCCTTCTTCTTGGATAGAAGGAATCAACACTGTGAAAATGGCCATACTTCCAAAACTATTATATGGATTTAATGCAATTCCTATCAAAATACCATTAGCATACTTCACAGATCTAGAGAAAACATCCGTAAAATTCATTTGGAAACAGAAGAGACCTAGAATAGCAAAGGCAATCCTGGGCAACAAAGGCAAGACAGAGTGCATCACAATTCCTGACTTAAATTATACTATAAAGCTACTGTGATAAAATCAGCATAGTAGTGGCAAAAAAACAGACCTTAAGATCAATGGAATGGATCAGAAGATGCAGACAGAAATACAATGACACTCAGCTACCTTATTTTTGACAAAGGGGGCAAACGTTCACTGGAACATGTTCACTGCCTCTTTACTAAGCAGTGCTAGAAAAACTGGCTTTCCACATGCCAGAGACTAAAATTAGATCCGTGTCTATTACTGTGCACTAAAGTAAAGTCAAAATGGATTAAAGATCCAAATACTAAAACAGAAACACTAAATCTACTGGAAGATAAGGTAAATAGAAATCTTGAAGACACAAGGTAGGCAAAGAATTCATGAACAAAAATGCAAACTGCATAGAAGTACTTCAAAGAATCAGCAACTGGGATTCTTATCTTATTAAAAAGTTTTTACACTTCAAAAGAAATCACAGAGTGAAAAGAAAACCCATAGAGAAAAAATTTTAGCCTCCTGTCCCTCAGACAAAGGACTTACTAGAACATATAAAGAGCTGAAAATATCAGGCCCCTCAAATTCAAAGACTTAATTCAAAAATAGGCATCTGTGATGAGCATGCCCTTCTCAGATGTTGAAATACAAATGGCAAATAAATACACAAAGAAATCTTCAACATCACTGGTCATTCGAGAGATGCAAATTAAAACAACATTGAGATTACACTTCACTCCACAAAGAATGGCTGTTACCAAGAAATCAACCAATAACAAATGTCGGTAGGGAAAAAGGAACCCTTCTCCATTGTTGGTGGGAGTGTAGACCAATGCAGTCACAGTGAAGATCAGTGTAGAGATTACTCAAAAAACTAGGACTGGAGGGCTCATTCAATCTAGCTATTCCTCGACTGGGTAATTTTGCAGTTTCCAGAAGAACTGAAAACATCATGTCAAAGTGGTAAATGTGCACCAATGTTTACAGCAGCACAATTTATAATTGGATTGATCTGGGAAACAACCTAAGTGTCCATTAACTGAGGAATGGATAAAAAAGATGTGGTATTTTTATAAAATGGTGTGCCACTCAGCTATAAAGAAGGACAAACTTGAGGTTTTTGTAAGTAAATGGATGCAACTTGAGACCAAACTCATAAGTGAAATAAATCAGACTCGCATGTGTTAAGTATTGTACTGTCTCTCTTATGTAAAACATTGAAAGGGGGTCAGGGATTTAGCTCAGTGGTGTAAGTGACTGCTTGGCAAGTGCAAGTTCATGAGTTCGATCCCTGATACCAAAAAACAAAAACAAAAAAAACCACTGAAAGAGTAAGAAAGATCCAAAATATACAATAGATACTGAGGAAAGTGATAGGAAAAGAATCTGCTCAAAAGGAAAGAACAACTGGAATAGGTGAAAGGAGAAAACAAAGAGGGGAAAGACTATATGTACATAGACTCTTTTTTTTTTTTTTTTTTTTTTTGTCTTTTTTGAAGCAGGGTCTCACTATGCAGTTCAGGCTGGCATTGAGCTCACTTTGTAGCCCAGGCTGGTCTCGAACTCACAGCGATCCTCCTGCCCCAGCCTCCCAAGTGCTGGGATTACAGGCATGAGCCACCACGCCCAGCTATGTACATATACTCTATATACACACTCAATAGATAACTATACTACTAAACTATTAGTTTGTCCAAAAAAAGTTTGCTCTTTCATTTTTATGCCTATATCTTGTAACATGAATGTCACTTTGAAGGGAACAATACACAATACATAACCACTGTTAACCTATTACTTTGTTTTGAAATTTTATATCATCATTATTCTTTGGCTTTTAAAATTTAAAAAAAGTAACAGCTTTACTAAAAATCCGAGTATTTACAAGGTTAATTTATAACTTTTATTGGTTCTTGATTATATCATCAAGTTACACAGATCCTATCCCCCCCAAAATACTAAAGATTTCCATTAATAATTATTTTCAATAGGATATATGCTTTAATAGAATTTCTTACCTTAAATGTCTGTTCAGTTTTTTCAAAAGTGGTTTGAAAACTAGGTCCACTCTTATCAGCCTAAATAAAAAATGAACAAAGGAATTAAGACCAAAGTAATTAATCCACTGTAAAGTCATGCATTTTACTGACTGTAACATGCTGTGTGTTCTCCTCTGGGAGCCCGGGAGAACAAGTACTCACTTCAGGGAACCTACAGCAGGGTGTGAGAATGATACACCTTGGGAGGTAGAAGGTGCAAAGGTCATCTAGGTCATCTAGTACATTGGACACCTAATGCTGAAATCCCTTGTCCACTTCTCTGGTAAGTCTGTTTACATCTCCAGTAAAAGAAACCTCATCTTCTTAGAAATCCAATCACCAGGGTGCTCTGATTTAATGAAGTCTTTGTACTGCTTCAAGCAATCTCCCAGCCTTATTATTCACTGTATTTCTGATCCCTGAAACAAACAGTGTAACTCCAAACACAAAAGATGACCTCCCAGGGCCAGGGATTTAGCTCAGTGGCTTAAGCGACTGCCTTGCAAAAAAGCAATCGTGAGTTCGATCCCCGGGACCGATAAAAAAAAAGAAAAAGACAAAAAAAAAAAAAAAAAAATGACCTCCTGTGAGTTTTCTGCCATCGCTTGTCTGCTTGTCTGCTCCCACAATGCTTTTGTTTTGCTTTATTATATTCATATTACACTGCTATATAATAATCATATTGTCAACCAATCAACACATTTTAATTATTTATTTTTGTACCTCTCCCTTCTAGTTTATAATTTGCCTGCAAAACATAATGTTTGTCATCTGTGTCTCTAAGCACCTGGTAGTGTAATCTATTTAGAAACACATATAGACATTCAATAAATAATAAGTGATTAAAACAAACCTATTAAATCGTAAATGAACCTAATTTTATCAATTACTTCAGCACTTTCCTGGTGCATTTCTTGGTCTCTTTCCAGGCCTGGGAGTTCTCTGCAGCACCTGATCCAATGTGTTTTTTTCTTTGAATGTGGCTTAGCCAAACTGTCATCTACTATACAGACAAGTGTGGACATATAATTATGCCCTTAAAGATAGAAACAGTGCCTCCTTCTGCCCAGGCTTCTGCATTTGAGAATAAGAGGTCAGCAGCCTTCTAATAGCTCTTCACTTAGTGAAAGAGAAACAAGGTGTTTACATGCAAAAAGAAACAGTTAAAAACTAACCTACCACCCAGAATGATTAGTAACACACTGCCCTGTCCACTTCCCAGGGGCACAGTCCAGACTAGTGCTGGCAAATCAAAGACAAAAGATGCTAATGTAGAAGTTGTTCTTTCCTAAACAAAAATCTCAGTATTCAGGTTTAATTGCACTTAATTGGCATTCTGCCATAAAGAAGTGGGTTTTGGGGTGCAGTCTGAGCTCTCATCTCTCCACAGGTTCTCCAGCACTGCCATGGTCCTTACCTTAATATACTCTACTTTTAAAAGATCTGACCCAGGTTTGTCAGAAGAGCTAATCAAGTGAAGGGGCTTTTTTCTTGATCCTACAGAAAAAAAAAAACCATTTTCAAACAAGTTGCTTCTAGAACTTGCTAGACACTTCTTTATAAAAGCTGCTAATTAAGCTTCAAAAGAATACCTGTGCATATTTTCATGGTTATTAAATACTAAAACCATCACTCATGGAGAAATAAGCCACTCCAAGTTCTTGCCTTAGGCATCTAATTTACTTTAAAACATGTATTTATTTTCAGTTGAATTCACATCTGTTCAAAACTAATCAAAGCTTCTTTAGATATTTTTAAGGCCACATGTTCATTAGTAAGGCAGCAGAACAGACTACAGGTGCCAGCATCAAGAAATATCAATTCCAGCTCACCTCTATCCTTCCTGACTTAAACTACAAACATATTTTTCAACAATGTAACGAACAAGTTGGATGGGATTCTGTTGTGTCTAAAATTCTATGAAAGAACTTTATATAGAGAGAACTTTGTGTAGACTGGGAGAAGAGAATTTCAAGAGAAGCAAACTGCAATGCTTCCTGGAAAGTTTAAACACAAGCAGCCTCCACCCCTGCACCTGGGCCAGGAGCAGCTCGCACGCAGGCCCTGGGAAGGGAGCAGCCGCCCACCGCCCACCTGACCACTGGACTTCTACTCCTGCTTCCCCACCGCACAGGGCATCTTTCTCCCGAGTCCTAGTCCTCCATGACAACAAAACAGCCTAGAAAATTTATCATCTACATTTCCCTCTTTCTTTCTGTAAATTCTTTCTTTCTGTACAAAAAAATAGTAACGTAAAATATTTCTTTTCTAAATTGAGGCTGATTTCAGTTACAAATACTCTCAAATTATAAAACCCAGGCCTCTATATTTGACTGAAGCACTAAAGAATTTTAATTATCATACATTTTATTCCTTCATGCCTCAAATATCTGAGGTCACAAGATAAATACTGAGATGAAGAAAGTTGTCGAGCTTCTAAGAGAGTGAACGTCGTACTCTCCCATTTTTATTTTTAACTGGAGCTTATGACATGTGACCACTACTGCACAGAAAGCCTGGGACCTGCCAGGCACAGCTGTTGTAATCCCAGCCCTCAGGAAGCAGTGTTGGAGGCTCACCATGAGTTTGAGGTCAGCTGGGGCTAAATTAGCAAAATTCAAGACCAGTTGCCTTACATAGTAAGACCCTGTCTCAGAAAGAAAAAAACAAAGGGGACCCTCAACATTGTAGGATCAGAGACAAACTCTCCAGTCTTCTAGCCATAAATACATGACATGAAGGAAGCTACTGAATTCTTCTCTGACCCTTTTTGTCCGTCCCTGTGTTTGCTAAGGAGAGTTACACAAAGGCAGAGGTAACAAATCAGAGTAGCTGAGAACAGCAACCCCAGACTGCTAGCCTGCCGGACTGCCAAGATTTCATTCATGGCTCTGCTACTCCTTGTTAGACCAAGGGTAAATTTTATAAGAAATCTATACCTTAGTTACATAAAACTACCAACAGTAACACTATGTTATTATAAGATTTAAATGAATTGTTATTTGTAAAGTGTTTTGAACAATGTTTACTCTTGTTTATAATAGATACTATCATAGAAATAAAAGTGTTTTAGATGCTTAAAAGTGCTACTTTTATCACTTCCATTTTTAGGAATATTACCTTGAATTTCATGGTAATCCAAGCTGATCTTCTTTAAATAAGACACCACAGTTAGGTCGAAAGTTCTCACTGTGGCCTCTGTTCCTAACTGAGTAACATTAAATACTAGAATTGTATCTTCTTCTTTCTGTTGTTTAGTAAATTCCAAAATTACCTAAAAGAATTAGCATAGCCAAGTGAAAAGTTGACAAAAGTTTAAGTCATAGTTCAAATAAAAAACAAAGTCTTTCTCCATACACATCACCATGAATACAGTTAAAACTTTGCTCAGACCCCTTTCCCACCATAAAGTTATTTAATGTTATAAATTATCATTATCAAGAGTATAAATTCCTGTATAAAAGATTATGGTGAAATTTAACATCTTTTGTTGACTTTTTTAAGTTTAGAAAAATTTAGAATTTATGAAGTCTTCCTTAATATTTTCTCAAACTAAAATCACATTTGGTGATAACAGAAGCTATTCAAGTAAAAATTTATGACAAGAAAGTCAGGCAGCGGGCATATGCCTGTAATCCCAGCACTCAGGAGGCTGAGGCAAGAGGATTGCCAATAGCTCAAGGCCAGCCTGCACTACAAAGCAAGACCATGTCTACAAAACAAAAACAAGAGAAAAAGTTATGACAAGAGTGCTTGTTATCATATTACTTAAGTTAATTGTGGAATGGCAGCTGATACATTTAGATAATAAAAAGCAAAGCATGGTATCTTTTAAAAGATATAAACTCCCTCTTTTTATTTATTTATTTATTTATTTTCCCCCAAAATTCTTTAATACACTCTCCAAAAGACAGAGGTCTGTGCTGCTTCCTCCTGAACCTGGACAGCCTATGAATGCCTCAATCAATAGAGCGCAGAGGACTCTGGTAACACAAAGGGCCTGGGAAAGCTGACAATCACCATGGGAACCTGGAGAGTCAAGCCCAGATAGCAGCCAGCCCTCAGCCTCCGCCAGCCTCCGCCAGCCTCCAAGGGAACCAAAGGACCTGCACCCCAAGGCTTCCAGTGACTGAAGCCCCAGGTAACACCTGATCAAAGACAACAGGCAAACCCAGAGTAGTCCAGCTGGGCTTTTTGGTACTCCTAACCCACAATGCATGAGCAAACAAAAATAGCTGTCTTAAGCAGCTAAGCGTGAGGGTAACTTGATAAACAGCAATGGTAGCCAGTAAAATAGAAAAACTATGGAAAAAGCACACTAATATTAGCAGGTGGTATGATTATGTACTTAAGAAAAATCAAGCCAAAAGCAACCAAAAACAGAAGATAACAACAAGATAATACAGTAAGTAAAGTTCAGCACACACTTTATATAGAAATAAGCTTCCTACGCATTATTTAAACAAAAGCAATGAAATCGTAAATACATAAAACATGGGGCCAGGAATATAGCTCAGTGGCACAGGGCCTGCCTTGACAAGCATAAGGTCCTGCGTTCGATTCCTGGGACCCACAAAAGTAATAGGGGGAAAATATATACATTTAATATATACATATATATATATATATATATAAACATAGGTTATATATATATATATATATAAACATAGGTTATATATATATATATACATACATAGATTTTATATATATATAAACATGGGTAAGTATTTTGTGAGAATTTTCTAGGCATACACTAAAACTGGGTCATAAAGAAAAAAACTGATAGATTTCACTATAGAAACCTTTTTAAAAAGTTCTACTGGGAAAAGTATTCCAAACAGCATTATTCTTTTTCCTTCAATAGTTCTGTTTTCACCTCAGTTCATTCAATAGTCAATGAAGTATTTATTGCATATCATGTACCATGCATGTATCAGGCTGTCCCAGGAGCTAAAAAGACCAAGGTTAAGCAGGCCAGACATAGTTCTTGCCCTCATGTGCCCCACATGCCAGAGAGAGAAGGAAAAGGAACACTGCTCTCTTGAGGTAGTCGGGTCTTCCCAGTGAGGAGACACATACAAGCGCTTGAAGCACACAAGAATCAAGCCATGCTAGGAAAGTGTCCCCAACCAAAAAATGGCAAGCAGAGAAAGTTCTGGTGCACATATGTGAGAAAAAACACATTTAGTGGACTTCGCGGGGCAAGGACTTCGCTCCCCACCCATTTCCAACATCAACACCGATGTCTGGTGGAGGACGGCACTGCACTCACTGGAGGAATGCAAGAAACGCAACTGCAACAGAGGAAGCAAGCAGAAAACAGTGGCCCAAACAGGCAGGCGGGTGGGTGATCCCTGCAAGGCCTTGCAGGCCACAGGAAAGCACAAGTCATCACTGAGCCAGGGGAGGGCACGAACAGAGCAGCACCAGGACGCGGCCTCCGTGTTAAAAGGGTCGCTTTGGCTGCCTTATGGATAACAGAGCAGCGGTCAGGAAGCTGCTGCAAAGATACAGCCCGGAGATGAAGAGGACAGGACAAAGAGCAGCAGTGGGGGAGAGCAAGCATGTGAGTGCAATAGAAAACAAAGCTGAGAGGTCTGCTGCTACTGGGGGTCAAAGAGGAAGAGGAAGACAGCAGGCTAAAAAGGCTAACGCATCTCACTTCAAACAAATACCAGCAATGCTTGGTCCGCATGCACAAGTCAAATCAGTGACATTTCTCAGATCTGTAGCTGTAAACACCGCACCCCGAGATGAACAATCTGTACTTATCAAAGAAAACATGTATATGAAATTTTAAACAGATTATGTCCTTGCTAGTGTACATTCCATTTTCATCAAGTAACTATATACCATGACCATATTTCCAGGTTTCCTTTTACTACATGACTTATTTTTTGGACCATTTTGAGACAGGGTCTCGCTAAGCAGTACAGTCTGGCCTTGAGCTCACTTTGTAGCCCAGGCTGCCCTTGGACTTGCGGGATTCTCTTGCCTCAGGCTCCTGCGTGCTGGGATTACATTTGTGTGCCACCACACTCAGCTTACTAGATGACTTTTAAAGGGCAGAAAAAGCATGCTGGAAATTTAGGATTTTTACATTTTTCCAAACTATAAATATGACAATGAGCAACTATTATTTAACTCACAAATGAAAGTTAAAAAAATAAGCTGAACTTTGTGACACATGCTGGTAATCCCAGCTACAAAGGGGAATCCAAGGTCAGAAACAGCCTGGGCAACTTATCAAGACCTTGTCTCAAAATACAAACAAAAAAGAGCCAGGGAAGTAGCTCTATGATTCCTGGATTAAATCTCCAGTACCACAAAAAAAAAGTCAGAAATTGTCTGAAAAAACACAAATCCTAATTAAAAGCTCTGAGCTCTTCCAAAATAGATCAAACCACAAGTCATCCCTATTTAAAAAAAAAGAAAAAAAAAAAGACTTTCATTGTTTTGACATGGTGTGTGGGGGTACATTTTCCTAACCTGATGTGTGGTCTACCATGAAACAGTTTAATGATGACAAGAATACATTCATAGACAAAAAGTACACATACTTCTTTAACTTCAAACTTGAGCAGAAGATTAACGAGGGCCTCGTTCGGAACCTCCGCAGCCTTTCGGGGTTCGGAGCCTGGCGCACCTCTAGGCACCTGGGAGGCACCGTCTTCAGCGTCGAAATACTCATCGTCAGACTCTAGAGTAGAAAGACATCCACTAAACACTGCACAAAGCACTCAAGCCCAAGTCCTCTCAGGCAAAGTTTATGCATTAGATGTAACTCTATATTCACACTCAAAACTGCCCCAGAGCTTTTATCAAGTCCCACGAGGTGACTCAGTTAGGCACGTGATAATCAAATTTGAAATCAAACAGCACTACAATCTTTCCTTCAGTGACTTCATTTTTGGCTTAGTTCACTCATTGAGTACTCCATGAAATAGTTACTGACCCATCTACCATGTTCCAAGCTGTGTCAGCCCCCAAGAACTTAAGAGTGACCAGAACAGACATACTTATTATCTCTGCCAAGCTTATGCTCTAGCTTGAAATCTCAAAAGATCAACTAAGCATGGCTACGGAAAAGGATCACACAGAGATCAGATCATCAAGTAGCTTATTTAGAACCTGAAGTAAAAATTGTTGACCACCAAAAGGGCTTTAGTAAAGAAACCTGACCTTCCAAACGTAAATAACTGAAGGCACACTGTTAGGTAACAGCACGAGAACCAGAACCAGCAGACTGCTGTAATGCACTCCTAACACCTCTGCTTTTCTGAAAATGTTATTGTGATAAAGATAATTTAGAAACACACTTTTACACTCCTTACCTGAATCCATTTCACTCAGCAATAATGAAGCACCAAGGAGAACTTTTGTCCCACTTGAAGCAACAGGAACTGACAATACCTAGCAAAGTACACAGAAACAAAAACAAAATATGAATTTCACAGGATTAAATACACACGAGACTGAAAACTAACAAAGTTCAGAGATGGAAAAACTCATACACGCCATATATAAATCTTCCAACAGAATACATGACATCCAGACACGGGGACACGTGCCTATAATCCTAGCACTCAGGAGGCTGAGGCAAGGAGATTGTTGTGAGTTCGAGGCCAGCCTGAACTATACAGCAGGATACTGTTTTTTAAAAAAAATTTAAATAAAAAAGGAAGGATAAATTCTGTAACTGAATAATAGTTGAAATTTACAAATTAAGATTGTCATCATGTTTAAAAGATAAAATTATGTATAACTCTAGCAGATAAGGTGATTCATTAATGTTTATCATTTAGCTGCTGTGAACATCAGAGGTCCCTAGAAAATGAGTTCAGCATCAGATGATTCTCTCAAAATGTGTTTCTAAGTAAGCAAAAATCCAACATTTCTTCTGTGTGTTTGTGGTGAAGAGGAGGGTTTTCACTAGTAGTTCACGCTGGCCTTGATCTCATTATGTAGTCCAAGCTGGCTGTGAACTCAGTGATCCTCCTGCCTCTGCCTCACAAGTGCTGAAATTACAGGTATGTGCCACCATGCCTGGCCCAACATTTCTTTTATGCTATGAAAATTATTTCAATTAAAGTGACTCAGAACTTTAAAGTCCAACACAAAAGGAAATTTTATCCCCATTATTTTATTTGCAACATTTCTAAGATGATTTATATTTCTAATTTTATTTAAAGTATGTTTTCTATTTTATTTTCCTTTCCTGTATTTTTGGTTCTTTCAAGCATAAAGTTTGCCCTAAAACTGCCTTCCGACTGCTACTCTATTACAGCAGTTGTCTGAAAACAGAAGATTGAATATTTGTGTCATACCCATTACCTGTCTCTCTGGAGATTGAGTTGATGATTTCTGTGGCAAAGGTATACTGTTAATCAAACACAGCACATCTTTCATCTTCTGGTCTGAAATCCTCACATGATCAAAGGAAGTCCTCCTGATGCTTTAAATCTAAAAACACAATTCAGCCATAAGATTTCAGGATCAGCCAGCCTCTCCATCAGTACTGCAGAGGGGGAAGGAGCTGCAGAGTCGGGTTACTGTAGACAAGTTCTAATCCAACATTTGGGAGGGGATTGAACCCAAGGCCTTCACACTAAGTTGCATCCCTCACCCTTTTTTAAGGTTTAGTTTGTCAGAGCTGAGGGCTCAGTGGTATAAGTGCCTGCCTGGCAAGCACAAGGTTGTGAGTTTGATCCCTGGACCCACATAGCATAAGTTTTAGTTTGGACACATAGTCTCACTAAGTTACTCAGGCTGAGCTAGATCTTTCGAATCTGCCTGCCTCAGTTTCCCAGAATGCCAGGAAATCCTGGTATGTGCCACCATACCTGGGTCACAATAAGAATGTTTTAAACAGATTTTTAAATCATGATATTGTTATCCAAACATGTCTTCTTAAATCAATGAAAAGAAAAACATTCTGATTTTTAAACTATTCACTCTACATTAACTATGATTTGGATTAAAAATAAATCCAAGTGAGAAAAATAATTACTGGTATTCTTCTAGATAGTATGTTGTTTCAGAGACATTGGAGAACCATCTGCAGTATGTTTCATATACCACAGGAAAATAAAAGTTAATCTCAAGCATGTCCTGTGTTGGGTATGATGATAATCATTCCCTGAATCTATCTGATCAATTTCCTTTTTTTAAAAAAAGGGACAGTTAAATCTACATGTATCAGCTATGGATTTAGGTCAGCGGCACAAGCACCTGCCTGGCAAGCTCAAGGTCATGAGTTCAAACCCCGATACAAAAAAGAAAAACCTAATATGTCACTTGCCCTCAAATAGGAATGAGATGAGGCCTTACCTTTAGGGACAGAAAGAAGCTAAAATGTATTCTTGTAAAATGTCAAGTGTTTTCCTTCAAAATAGAACAAAAAATTAACATATGAATTATACTAGACTGTAACTCTCTCACAACTTATCCTTAGAAAAGAAATGGGGACATTTCCAAAAACCTAATGTCAAATGAGAATAGAAGCTGATCATATTGTTTTTATCACTGATTCTGAGTAATAGGCAACTTTTAGAAAACGTGGTTTTCACTTCCACCTTGTTCCAGGGGGAGGATACAAGCATTTTGAAAGCAGAGAAAAACAAGAACTCTTGGTGTATTGTATCAAAGAAGCCCAGAACATATTTTAATATGGCACAGAATATGACAGAACTATAAATGAAAGTCAAATGAAAGGTTTGGTGGGATATCTTTTTGCTCTTCAATATGGATATAGTATAGTTGGGCTTGCTCAGTTAGGAAAACTCAGAAACTGGACCCCAGTTACAGGCAGGTGCAGGCAGATAGGAAGTCAGGAGCCTAAGGTTGGGAGGGACAGGGCAGGGAGGAATCTCAGCACTGGACTCTTTGGCACCAGCAGCCTTTAATTTGGTAATTACAGATCTCATTGTGGAACAGTAGGATGTTTTGGATGGTGTTGTCCTTACAGATAGACTTTTTTTTCAAGTGATTTGGAAATGATCTCTTTTGTTTACTTTTTCAAATAGTCCATTCTTTATTCATACAAAAGTATTTGTGTGCATGTGTGTTGTGTGTCCCCATGGCTTTTTCTTTAACATCACTCCTTTTTAAAATTATGAGACAAAATGTCACTAAATTGCCCATGCAAGACTTTTTTTTTTTTTTTTTTTTTGTCTTTTTCATTTTTATCAGTACTGGGGATCAAACTCACAACCACCTGCTTGAAAGGCAGGTGCTTACGCCACTGAGCTAAATCCCCAGCCCCAAGACTCACATTTTTGTTCTCTCTGTCTCAGTTTTTCAAGTGCTGGGAATAGAGGCTTATGCTGCTACATTTTGTTCACAATGTTATTTTCAATTAGGATCCGCTCAGCAGGAAACAGGACCATATTCAAAGGCTTGGGAAACTGCTTAACTACTGTCAAACTTCATTTAGCGTTCTAGATACTTTAAAATAAACCAGTATGTTTTCCTGTTCTGGGTGCAGTCAATCCCCAAACTGTTACACATTGTTAAAAATAAATTAATTTTTTGCCTGTCTGCAACTGTTTCTGGGACTGGCATAGTCTGAGGCCGCTAAGGACTGGGTATAAATTTAGAAACACAGGGCATGGCGGTGCTCATCCATAATCCCAGCACTCTGGGAGGGTGAGGCAGGAGAATTGCAGGCAGCCTGACAGTTACCTAACTCAGCAAGACCCTGCATTGGAAAAAAAAAGCTGACAAAGCCCTGGCTCCAGGAGAGAGAAACAGGGAGGGGGAGGGAAGGGGGGAGCAGGAAGGGCAGGAGGAGGGGAGAGAGGGGAACCGAACTATTTTCTTAAGTTTAAGGGTGGAGTCTCACTTTAAGAAAAGTTACATAGATTATTGATAAAATCAACTTTTACATCTACTGGGGAAGTTGTTCAAAAAATATGACTAGTCATAGAGTGGTTAATAGATTTTTCCAAAGAAACAGTAATGGTTTTGAAGTCATACGTGTGGCTACAGGAAGTGTCCAGTCTGGGTCAGTTTGAAGCCAGGACAGTCATAGCAAAGAACTCTGGGATTGCTGTTCTTCCTCACCAGGGGAAAGGTCTCAGAAAGCCTCCAGACAGCGCTAACTCAATCAGAAACGTGCAGGTATTGACACTTGCACCCCCCTGCTCAGAATGTCTTAAGATTTAATTGCATTTTGAAGAGTGTTACTAAACCAAGCTGCAGCTTTATACCCTTGCATCCCAAGATGATGTTGACAGCCTAACAGGAGAATGCTTAAGGAACTAGCCAAAGAGGCAGTGTAAAAATAACTTTTATCAAACAACCAGGTGTCTTTTGAACACAGAAATTTTTTACACAGAATTGCTCTTGTGGAGCTTACCTTATAATCTTGAGAAGAATCTCACTGGTAGGTACTGATAGGTAGTAGGGCTACTTTGGAGAGATTACATGATGGAAAATTTTGGAATCCAGATTGGGGGAAAAAGTAATGATTTTGAGATGCTTGACAGGAATCCACCAGGCCCTATGAACTAGGAAGTATGAGGAGAAAATGACTAACTGCAGTGAGTTTTTCCTCTCTTAGTGAGCTTATGTAACTCTGGCACTTGAGCTACAGAAATATGGTTGTGATTTGACAGAAAATCTAGGATCAGTTTAATGAGATTATCAAGCTTTTACTGAAATCAATAAACATTTGTTTTTTTAACCATCCCTTGAGGTGGTTGGCCGCCACCATTGGTCATTATTAGGTTGGTGAATTTAAGAAAGTGTAGTGAATGCCAAGTATTTTATTAGAAACAGTTTGTGCCCTGCAACTTTTAGGACTTGGTCAAGTGGAGGTAACTGGCACACTGATTGCGTTTGACTTTTAACATTTATTCTCTGCAAAAGGGACTATATCACAAAGTTGTACTCTGAGATTATAAAGATCTCTGAGGCCATAATCAACTGAGTGCATCAGTATTTCCTCTCTGGTACTGAGGATTGAACCCAAGGAGTCCTGAGCTATATTCCCAACCCTTTTAAAGAGAGGATCTCGATAAACTGCCTTGAACTTGTGATCCTTCTGTGTCAGCTTCAGGAGGAGGTGGGACTATAGATGCAGGTCACCCCAAGGGGCTCATCAGTCTTGATGAGAAGTGAGTGTTCTCACAGAATGTCCAGTCTTAGTCTGTCTCAAAGACTCTTTCAAGATAGTTTCAATTTACAAATCAACTCACATATGAGTTGCAGGAACACTTCGCTTCAAGAAAAACACTAAGTTCAATTAACTGAAGATGTACTGTTTCTTAAGAAGGGTCTACACTGACTGCTCTGTATTGACAAGAAAAGTTCTTAATTTTCCCCCCTGAAATCACAAAAATAATGTATTTCTTACAGGAAAAACTAGATGGAAGAACTAAGCAGGAAACAAAACAAAACAAAAAAAACCACCCACAATCCCTGAGCCGGTCGCAGTGGCGACATTTATAATCCCAGCATTCGGGAGGCTCAGGCAGGAGGATCGTTCCAAGTTCTGCAAGGTGAGCTCAAGGCCAGCCTGAACTGCACAGTTGAGCCCCAGTGTCAAAAAAAAAAAAAGACTAAAAAACAGAAAAGACAAAAAACTGAAAAAAATCACACTCCCACCGAACACTGAGATTGAGTTAACACAAAGGTCTTCAGCGGTCCGGTCTTCCCGCCTGTATTTAGCTTGATCCCACGGGACGCGCGTCATTAGACTCCTTGTTCCCTTGTAACCTTCACCTCGCGTCGCTCCTGAAGCCGGTAAACCGAAGGGGCAAAGAGCGCGACAAAGGGCAGGCGGGATGCAGGCCACTTTTAACTCAGCACAGCACAGCCCCGCTGCCACCGGTTCACCGGCCGCTTCCTCAGTCCCAGCGAGGTCCGGCCCGCGCCCCGGGAGCTCGAGTGGATCGGGACTCGAACCCCTCTTCCTCAGAGGCGCCTTGCGGAGCCGCGCTCGTCCGCGCCCCCAGCCGCTTTCCACAGCGGCGGGCCATAAGGCCTGGAAGACCCCAGAGCAGCGGCGGAGCCAACCCAGAGACCAAGCGGCGCCGAGCCCCCGCGGCGCGCGGTCCCCGAATGATGACGCGTTTCCTGCGCCCCCGGCGCTCGGGGCCGTGCGCGCGCGCTCGCCCTCGGCTCTAGTTCCGCGCCCGGAGCCGGCGGCGGCGGTAGCGGCTGAGGAGCTGAGCGGCGTCCGGGCGCGCGCGGGGGGGGGGGGCGGGTGGACGCGGGCTGCACCCTGGCAGACACTCTGCAATGAGACAGTAAATGCATCCCCCGGTAAGGCGCACGCCTCGCTCGGGTTTCCCTCTCCCTCCAGCTGCGCGCAAGCTGCATGAATTTCGCTCGTCTTTTCCCTCCTCTCCAGAAGGAAAATGTGGGTGGTTTTTCTGCCTCCCTTTTGCATTTCGTGCGCGGTGTCAATGTAGAAAACAACTCCTCGGGCGTCCTGGGCTCGTGTTCTAGGCGGGCTTTCTGCAGGAAAATAAAGACACACGGGCACGAGTGCACCTGTCCCAGCACACATGTGTGTCTCACGCCGCGCTCGCCCCGGGCGCCGCGCCTGGCACGGGCTCGCTCCCCGCCGGCGCCCGGAGCGCATTCCTGGTCGCGGGCAGCGGGGCTGGCCGGGGGCTCCCGCCGGGCTTCCGGCCGGGAACCGGGCTCTGCGGAGCAGCGCCGGGCGCAGAGCGTCCCCTCGACCCTGCCGGGCGGGCCCCGCGCCCAGAGTTGGCGAGGGCGGAGCGGCTTCATTCCAGCGCTGGCGCCGCCACTCCAGCGCCACTTTGCGCACGAGTCTCCCGCCGCGCACGGGGCCGCTGCTCCGTCGGGGCTCGGACCGCCGTCCCCACGCAGCCCTCTCCTCCCAGGCTGCCCCTGGCGACGCGAGTAGCGTCGGCTGCCCGCGGGCCTCGCCTTCCCTGGCTGCACGAGCTGTGGTTCCGCGCCCGCGGGGGGCTGAGGGGCCCGAGCCGGGGCCTGCGGGGGCCTCCGAGGTGCGCGGCCGAGGGCGCCATGTTCCCGGTGGGCGTGAGGCCCCGCGGGGCGGCGCGGGCAGAGTCAGCGAGGAGTCGGCCGGCGCGGGCGGGAGCGGTCGTCGCCGGGAAAGTTTGCGCGCCGATCTCGGCGCTGTGGCTGCGATTCCAGCCAGGGCGCGCGCGCGGCTGCCGCGCGTCGCGTGCCGCGCAGCCCTGCGTGGCCGCGAGTCTGGATCCAGGACCCAGCGCCGGTTGTCCCCGCTGGCCCTGTCCCGCTGGGACGTGGCGCCCACACTGCGAGGCCAGGGAACACGCCCCCTCCCCGCCGCCTCCCGGCCGAGCGCGGTGCGCGCAAAGCGTCCAGGCGACGGGCTTGCGGGGTTCATCGCGAGGCGGGAGGGGGCGCCCCGGGTCGCGCACCCAGGTAAGGGCCTGGCCGGGGCGACTGCATGCCGGGCTCTCTGCGCGATGCCAGCTGGAGAAGGCGCGGGGAGGGCGGCGTTGCCAGAAGTTGGGGCTTCAAGGGGCACCTGGGAAACTTGCGTTCCTGCTGCTGCGGGCGAAAGAGCCAGGGTGATTTGGGGAAAGGAAGTTGGGTCAGAATCGCTGACGCTGGTGGTGAACGCGAACCCTAGGTTATTTCCAAAGTGGAGAGGGAAGTGAGCTGGAGCGTGGCTGTCAAGGACACAATTAAAGACAGCAGGGTGCGGGGGCCGTGCTGGAGAAGTGGACCCCCAAATACACGTAAACTGCAAGCACCCTGGTGCCTTGAGCGGCGATTTTGCGCCCGCGCGTTCCCGGAGTGGCGTTGTCAGCGTGCACGTGCCACCCAGCCTTCTCCGAAGCAGGGAGGCGGCAACGTCCCGGGAGTGGGGCTGCGGGCATGTGCGTTTGTGGAATCTTTTACTTTCCCAAATAGACTTTCCCTCTGCGTGCTGAAGAGGCTGGGGAGGGTGCGTTTGTCGATCTACCTTCTGCTGAATGCCTTGGGCAACCCTTTCTCTTCGGCTTTTTTTCTCTTTCAATGAAACGTTTTGCCTTCATCATTGGAGAGGATGAAAAGATTTAAAAATCCTGAAGTGGGGATATTCGGCTATCTTTGTGTGCAGAGGGAGGCGGAAGTCTTCTCTGAGATGTTAGTCTCCGATCTGCTTCTTATCCATTTCATTAAGTGCCTCCCGGATGAGTGTCACCCGCTGAGTCTCTAAAGATTGTAGCCTCAGTTGAGCACTCATTTGGCACATTTCGGGAAAGTCTGAGTCCGAATGGTGGGCTGGCTGTGAGACAGGAGGAAGACCCTCTCTGGACTGGGGATTGAACCCAGGGCTTTCATATTGACCTGCATTCCCAGCACTTTAAATTTTTTTTCTTTTTGGAGTAGGGTCTCACCAAGACACTGAAGTTGCTCAGGCTGGGCTTGAAATTGCTGCCTTCCTGCCTCCTAGAGGGTTGGGGTCATACGCATGGGCCAACACACTCAGCTCTTTTATTATTATTTTGAGGCAAGATCTTGCTATGTAGTGCTCACTATGAACTCACTATGTAGTGCAGGCTGGCCTCCAAACTCTGTGTAACCCTCTTGGCTCAGTCTCCTGACTGCTGGGATTATAAGCAGGCAGTACTGTCCCCTAGTTTTTTTTATGTTATTTTATTTTTTATTGAGCATTAGGATAGTGGAAAACAACAACGCACTATTTCTCCAAAATTAGCACAGCTAATTTAGTTGAGAAAGCAGTCGCGGAAAGCTTCTATCCCTTTTGTGAAATCTCTAGCCTTAGACTAGGTCATACTGGGAAGCACACTCACATAGACTGTTGCCCCTCTCTTTGTATCCACTTCCATTTATCTACAAAATACTCAGAAATTACCAGTCTGTATTTTCGGTGTGGATGTTGCACTTTTCCTTCTAAGGGGAAAGTTGACTTTCAAAATCCTGACCCTTCAGAATACTGTTACTGGCATTCGTATTGCGGAGGACATAGGCTACAGGTGTGTTTTGAATTCATCTTCTCCAACTGCTTGTTCAGTTTTTTTGCAGAGACTGTTCCCGAAGTGTGTCTGTTATTTTCTACTCCAGGTTCTTTCTTCTCTATCCCTAAATTATGTGGATTTCTCCTCCCTGAACTTTGATGTCCTCCCCATATCAGTTCCCACAGACAGTTCAGGGTGATGCTGGGTGGGGAAGAATATAAAAAAATTTTTAATCAAATGTTCAGAAAAAATCTGCATGCCTAAAAATACGTAATTATCATTGTACTTTGTAACTATGTATATGCCATATATATATATATATATATATATATGTTTTGTGCATGTGTTAAAAATTATATAATTAACTTAAAAGAAAATTTATGTTGCAAACCCTCCAATCTTCGGTCCTAAGTTCATTATCTTAATATTTATTGTTATGCCTCTTCACAATGTGTTATAAACTGTGCTTTGTTGTCTCTTGTCTGATTCTTATTATCATAACTTCACAGCTTGATCAAAGATCCCACATTTTTTTTCATTAGTAAGATTTTGTAACTTCAGAAGGCTGGAGAAGGCCTATGCACTTGGGCAAGTTACTTGTCAATTTACCAAGTTGTGTGTGTACGTGTGTTCCATGGCCTGATTCTTGATCCAGTGTCTCCAGTTTGTGACTTGTGACATTATTACTCCAGAAATTTTGAGTCATAGCCTGTTCCTGGGGATTTTGAGTGGTGTTTGGCTAATACAGGAAGTACTAACCAAGAGTTAAATAATTCAAAAACAGTTTTGTTTGGTACCAAAAAAAAAAAAACCTTTGACGACCAGAAGAAAAATATATATAGGCTAGAATTATAGCTCAACGGACCCAACTGGTGCCTTTTTAATTATAGTACTTTCCCCCCCAGAACTTTTTAATCCTGTTGCTTTTATATTGAATAAGGGACTAGTTAAAACATAAGCCAAACAGAACTATTACAAATAATGGGATAAATGGTGGGTATAACCAGATGTTTTCCCTCAAATTAAAAGTTAAAGAATTTGAACTCTGCCAAATCCCCCCTCCCCCACTAATAAGCTACAATTTTGACAGGTAAAGTCTTGGAGGAAGGGAGGGAAAAATAAAAAAAAGAAATGAATGCTTACGGTTGGCCTTACTCGTTGGCTGACCGTCCAGGCGACCCTGGCTGAGTGGCAGGTGCGACTTGCATGGCAGCTGGTGGACAACACTGAGTCCAAAATGCTTTAGTCCTGGGGGCCTTTATGAGTGGGTTACCCAGAGCTGTGAACTGGCACTAGGCTCATTTGACTCCCATTTCACAGTGGAGTTTACAGAGTCGGTGCCAAGACCATGGTTTTGTTTTTCTCTTAACCAACAATTTAATTTTGGCCAAACTGT